GTTGTAAAACTATTTCCTTTTTTAGTAGGTGAAAGAATTTATCTTTAGTTTTAATAATAGCAAATCTTACTTTATTCAACAGATGGCGCTAAATTTCCACTGCATGTAGTACATATGAAACAAGGCTCTTGCATGATGCAATTCCCTTCTGGAAAAGAAATTACCCATTTTCTCGTCTATAAACGTGTTTAGTGTAACAATGAAATCAATGTCAGTCAAAATTTAATTGCGTTCTATTAACTATTTATGCTTTATTTTTACTTTGCTCAGTGAAATGAGATATATTCATAACGTAAGTCTCCTAAATAATTGCAGAGAAGAAATTGGAAATGTCTCCTAAATAACTACAGATAAGGAATGGTTTGATGATGAAAAAGATTTATAGAAAAATGAGAAAGCTGCAGTTTTACAGATAATTAGTTGGTCAGTATCCTCAGCAAAATCTCAGTGAAGTTTAATCAGGATATCAATGAAGTCTTCTATTTCAAAATAAATTGAGGAGCTTTAGATATTTCCTTTCATGCATTTGAAATCTTTTCCACTTTTTAGAACGATCATTTTATTTTATCAAGGAAACTTTGGTTGAAAAAAGAGGACTGAATGATGAAAAAAAAACGTATAAGGATCTCAGCGGCATGCCTGATCAATAATATCATTTTGTTTTTATCGATGAAATCCAGGGCTTGAGCCAGGATTTGTCTGGTAACAGCTTCGTTTCCCAAGTAATCCTTTTTCTCATCCCGGAAAATTTGATATTTTCTGAGAAAACATGCTATCCCAGAAGACTTCTTTTTTATCGCCGCTCGGTCTGAGTTGCTGCATCGTTATTATAATGCAGGACATTAATCCTTCGAATATCATTCCAAAGCGTTACGCTTTATACTATCAAAATTTCAGATTTATTTTTTTCCTTAAGAAAACAAGTCACAAACTTCCAGACGGCATTTAAAAACAAGGAGATCTAAATCGTAGCCAATTTTACAGATTGAAAAGCTGATACAAATTTTTATTTAATCACTCTACCGAAACCAAAGCTCAAATAAAATCACTGAATTGTGTCACTAAGAGATGTGTTTTATAAAACTAAATCTGCTAATGCAAAAATCGATAGGAATAGCGTTAAACGTGAAATTCGTTGAAATATATTAAAACCGCGTGATATATTTTCCAAGAAATGTTCCTAAAAATTATGAGTAAATACTGAACTTTCTTTAATAAAGGACGTTCCGTAAAAGATTCTGGGTAAAAAATTATATATGTGTAAATATCTAACTTTCCTTAATAAAGGAGGTTCCGCAAAAAATTCTATAACATAGAATTAAATTTCTTAAAATCAAATAATAGCTATGGAAAGCAAGAGTTAGCTTTTTAAGTTTTAGGTAATAAAAATATTTCGTAAACGATTATACCTTAATGTTACCTTTTTAAGTTTTAGATAATAAAGATATTCCGTAAAAGATTATACCTAAGTATTATAATAATCTTTGTTTAAAATTTCATTGCGTATGCGTTTCATTGCCTTGATAATTATCTTCATTGATGATTAACATATGCAAATTATTTGAACTGTTGACCGAAAATATATTGATCAATTATTTTAAAGTAATCTGGCTATATTTCCAACTTAAACTTAATGTGTTATAAAGCTAAATACTGTATACATTATATATGGTAAGCACTGAATCTAGTGCTAATATGTTAAATATATATTATTGTTTATATACATGTGTATTTATATACAATTTTCCTTTTTTTCGGCCTAAGATTTTTTTAAGTTAAAAGGTTAGACATTCATGTTCAGCTTTTTTTTAATTCTATGGGGATTCGTTCGAAAGTTTCATAATACAAATGAATAACATTTTCGAATGTATTTGTGTGAGTTTTTCTAGTTTTTTTTTTTTCTTTCCGTTTAATTGAGGCTGTTTTTAAATGCAATTATTATATTCTGTGCTGCGACGAATAATTCACAGAGTAGCGAACAACATCTAGGGGTAGTTCTTGACATTATAAGAGTATTGAAAATATAACTTTGTAAACTAAAGCAATTAGTGCACAACGGTTAGTGTTATATAATATCGAGAAGAACGAAGCATTTGTACGGCAATCACGAATCGTCCCAATTTAATGTTTTAATTACTAACCCATGAAAAGTTCTGTTTCAAGCATTAAATAAAGAATAATGAATGGTATTTTAGTATTAGTTCCTTTTTGATCATATTTAATTATTCTTTTTATCACCTTTTTACCATTTTTAATTTTTTAAAAATTTAATTAGACCAATTCTTATATTACTCTAAGTTTAATAACAATTTAAAAAACTGGTTTACATCTCCGGCTTAAAAAAATTTCACTTCCAGTTAAGAAGGAACAGTTTACTTACCCTACGCATTTTTAAATCAGATAAGAAAAATCGATTAGAAAATTACCTTTTTTTGTACTGAAAACTTAATATAAATATATACCTACTGCGTATGTGTATTTAATTAAGGCAAAGCACGCTAGGGTTATCTGCCTAAAGGGAGGGATGCCTAAAGGGAGGGATTCGTGGAGGACTTTCTAAGGGAAACTGGCTCGTATACACGTTACACATGGGGAAAACCACGAAAACGCCTATGCAGCCAGCCATGGATTCATTTAAAAATATGACACCGTATTCGTTTAAAATAATGATACTGAAACTTTTACCTCCCAAAATGTCTTGCGTAACACCCACAAATTTATTCTTAAAGGTAGTATTTTATTATTAATTGATTTAAATTACGGGTAATACATTTTTGCAAACGAAAATATGTCCGAATTTTAAGGATAACTTCTGTTAGACGCTTTTATACAAAAGATTGATAAAAAAAAAAAAAATAGCTTGCTCGTCCCACTTAAGTACAAGTTTCCTAATTTGTTGAATTTTCTGTAATTTTCTATTAAATTTCAGCGATATATAAATGCTTTCATTATTTCGCTGATATTCTGGAAATATATTCACAAAACATCATTAATTATTTTACGATCACTACCATGTTCTTTAATCAAAAGTGAAACATATTGATATGTCTTAATGAGTACGGAAAAAATAATTAGACATGTACTTATCATTCAGCAGTTGAAATTAATCAAATCGTGTAACAACTTTTACTCTGTTCCATTTTAAGCAGTGATTAAATAATGTTTATAACAGCTATCTGGATGTTATTAAAAACCGAAGTACATCTTTAAATTGCATATAGTACATACCGTTATTGTGTGTGTGTGATTATGGCAAAGCCTCGAGGGCTATCTGCCTAAGGGGAGGGATGCCTTCGTGGAGGACTTTTCGAGGGAAACTGCTCTTATCACGTTACATATGGGGAAAACCACGAAACGCCATGCGCCAGCCCATTCGCGGGATCAACCTCGGACCGACTACAGTTTCAGTCGACTTTACGCTCGGCCGCTGGGGGCCACTATATACAACAATTAATTTTGTACATTAATGCTTTTACGTCATCATGCATTTAAGACAAAAAGAAGAATGTGTGTGTGTATTAATTATGCAAAGCACACTAGGGCTATGCCTCGGGGAGGGATGCCTTCGTGGATGACTTCTAAGGGAATCTGGCTCGTATAACGTTACCGGGGAAACGCCCCATGCAGCCAGCCCGTTTCGCAGGATTCGAAAACCTCGGACCGAACTACCAGTGTTCAGCGACTTTACCGCTCGGCCGCTGGTGGACCCAAAAAAGAAAGAAAAAAAGAAATATTTGTTAATTTATAAATAGAATGGCAAATTAAAAAAAGTTTGATCAAGACGCGAGGCAGAATTATCATGTTTTAAAGCTGCTAGTAATAATAAAGAGCTTCACTAGAAAGAAATTTCGGAAATTCGAGGTCAGTCACTTGACTAATTTTATATAAAAAAAGAAGAAATTATTCTGCATTCTTTTATCGTAACTCACTAAACTTTTAGACATTGTGACTTGAGAAAGGAAAGATTTTTGATTTTAAATATTACACTTCAATTTACTCTTTTTAAGGTAAAAATAGTTTTTTTTCCTTTTTCTTTTCTTTTGTTTTTTTCCTTTCTCTCACCTTCACTTTGTTTCAGAATTTTCTTTCTAAAGAGCAATTTAAGTGTATTAAAAAGTTTTCCTCATTGTACAATTATTCGAGGAACGCCCGTTTTTGTTTAAATCTAGTGGTTTAAAACTTCACTTAGCATTCCCAATGGAGCTTTTCTTCTCATTTTAAGGGGAATGAATAATTTTATCTCATCATGAATCCTCGAAACGAAAACTAAGCAGAAGTTTACTTTAGAGAAACATCATTAAAAATGCGCATTAAAATTTACGATCAAGATTATATTTAAACATTGTTATGCTCAAAATGTTTAAAAGATACTGGACGTTTTTAGTAGTTTGCTAGGGTTTTGTAGACGGCCAGTTGTGTAAAATGTCTTATACTTCAGTTGTAATTTCTACTGAAATAAAGGGAAGATATAGCAGGCAATATACCTTAGCAATAGTATGAATTTATGTATTTATGTATATGAGAAGTGCCCAAAAAAGCCCTTTCCTGCCTTCATTTTTTGCATCCGTTGGCCGTAATTACTTCCAACTACAAATATGTTTGTAGAGGAGCGAATATTCCTGCTTGGACATTTTAAAATTAAAAGAAAATTGACAAATATTTATGAAATCAAACTTTTTTTAGGTCCTTTCGCTACCTGTAATTATATTTAAGAAAACTATACGCTCATCATAAAGAATAAAATGCAAAATGTTTCATTCCCGTACAACACAGATTAACTAACAAATTTAATTTTAAATTTTACGACTTTAAAGGATTTGATAGCTCTAGAAAATTAAATTTATTGCCCTTCTTTGAGGAGTCACTTAAAAAGTAAATTAGGATAAATCAATTCGTTTTTATTTGCATTTAAGTTCATTCAGCGATATTCTGTTGAGGTTTGCCTGATGCGTAACATTATTTCATTTATAATTTTTATAATTAACAATTGGTTGGTATAGGTTATGGAATCGAAGGGTGACTGGAACATTCGTTTTTGATGGTAATTTAACAGGCGAGAAATATACACACGCTAAATTAAAAATATTAAATGGACCATTGTTTGACTTCTTAGATGATAATGTCTCACTACAGGATATGTCAGTTGTATGATTTCAAGATGATGGTACTCAAGCATGTAAATCCGCAGGGCCACGTAATTAACGAGTAAATTGGAACTAGTATTATTGGGTATGGGGTCCAGTGGAATAGCAGTCGCGATCACCTGACTAAGTCCACAAGATTTCTTTCTTTGGGAGTTTTAAAATAAAAGTTTATGAAAGGGCATCAGCAAGTCGCACTAACCAGTTCAACCGTATACCAAGCGACCAGGCAACACTAACACTAATTATATTAACAGGGTTCAAGAATACTTTATTTTACGGTTATAGTTATGCGTATCAACTGAGTGCGTATCAACATTTTAGAAAATATAAGATTGACATTAAAATGGCAAAACGACCAAAACGACAATCTATTAGTGCACACCAAAGTTACTTTCTTGCCAACCCTGTAATATACTCATTAAAATTAAGAGGTTTTATCTTTTTGTGTTTCATACAAAACATCCTTTGTTAACACAACACCTACATTATTTGCTACCATTAAATTTAAACATCAAATTCAACTTAATGCAGCAAATTTAAACATTCACTGAAACACATGCTTTAGGTCTGGTCTATATAGGAGCTGAGATCAATTTGAATATACCATAAAATGTAGACAGACTCATACTCAATCACAACAATTACAGATATGTAATAAAAAAGAGATTATGGTATTAGAATAAGCTTAAAATAGAACACCACGAACTTAAAGCAAAGTAAAATCTATGATTCAGAGGGAATTCGATGAGAATTTGAGTATATTGACAATAACAGTGAAATATTTGTTAATTATGTGCCCCAGACATTTCCTTTCACTTACATGAAAATGATATGAACATCCAAAACATGTTCAGATTTTACTTATTTAACAAACCTTCGATTTACAAAATGCTATTAAAATTCTGAAATTATCAACAAACATATCATGTATTTTTTATCATTTAAGTACGTAGAAAAGTCACACTTTAATTTCCAAATAAAGTATTCCTAGACGAAGTACGGATAAAAGCTTTCATTTGATAAAATTGCTAGCTTAGCAACGTAATAACAACTATCTGAGAGCCCTGGATAATATAAAACGAGAATGCTTAGGAAACTAAATAGTTTTCCTAAACGTTGTTGCTAAATTCTGTTTCAATATTCGTGTATTGAACGAAATGTAAATTAGATACAAATTCAAAAGAACAGAAATAATACATACTCAGATCACTAGTAATAGAATTTTGTTTTCATACAGGATGATTCAAAAATACCTTGCAAAAATGTAAAAAGGTATGTAAAGTGGCTTTCTAGTGTAAATAGTCTTTTTTCCGTGCGGAATGTGAGGGGTATACATAGCTCCACAAAGCGGAGCTCGCCAGCATTCATTTTATTTTTGGAGCTGAGACTTAAAATGAAGCAGCTGCTCAGACAGCGCAGACTCCACGAATCTTCATTCTTTGTTGTTGAGTAGCTGCTTCGTTTTAGAGGCAGCCCCATAGATAAAATACAAATCGTGAAGTTCCGATTTCGTATAGAGATTTCGCACTGATTGAAATTCACACGTCGTGTGACGATGTACGCTAGCAGAATGCTTTTTATCTTCCACGTAACTATACAGCTTCAGCGGGCTGTTCCTGCGAAACATTCCATTACAAAAACTGCTTATTTCTGTCCCTTCTACCTCTCTTTAAATTGCTGATCTCTTTGAATTTACGCCGGAGTTTAGATGCCATCAGAAGAAAATTTGCAGCTACTGATTTATGAGCCATCCTCATAGCTTATACCCTGCGGTTGTAATAAAATATATGTGTGTTGTAAGGAAACGTGGAATTTTAAAATAATACGCTTCGATAGATATTTATAACAGCGCTTAGTATACGAAGCTGAGAAACTGAAATTCAGTTACCAGGATTTCAGCTAATATTTCAAAGTCCGTATCTTGGCAGAAATAAAAGAGTTTGCTGAAACTCTTATAGGCATATTTTTCCAACACCAAAAAGTTTGAATAGTCAATCGATACTCTGTTGGGCAACAACTGATAGATTTTATTCAAAACTACAGGGGATAAATCTTATGAAAACTGTTTCATCTCATTTTTTGTATCTTGTGTAACAGAAAACTGCTTTTTATTCAAAATGTTTACTACAGGTGCAATAGATTTTATATGGCATCTGACCCATGGGGAGTTATGTAAAACCTCGGGGATGAAAGCCGACTGTTTCTTTTAGAAAAAAAAGCAAATACGTTGAATATATAAAAATACATAGCCGGGAGTTTTTGAAAATATATACTTAGGAATGTTTAAACACTTTCTTTAGCTATTTAATCTCAACAGATGTATATTGTTGTGGTTTAGCCACAATTTCTAAATGGTGACAGGTCAATGCATAATCATGGATAAGGATTGCATATGCGTTGGTCATAAACTGGGCACCTTTCATTATATATATCACAATTTGGATCAAAAATTCAATTCAGACATATTGCAGAAATCTTTTGTTTCCTCCAAACTTCTTGATAGGACTTATGCCTTGAACTCTGAGTTAACTTATTTCACATAGAAGCTACAGTTATAAACGACCAGGCTTTACCCAATGAAAAGGATCCGGTACCGGTCCTTCTGCTAGAAAGCATCTTTCGCTGGTACAAGACATCATCGTTTAGGGAAGAGAGATCTCTTAAGGGGTCTCATACACTTAAACTGTCGAATTTTAAAATGTTGTTTCATTTTAAAGTTAAATTTCTTCTGCTTCGTTTGCAACCGCTCTCATCCATATAGATACAGAATTTTATTTTCTATGATCAAATAAATATACGTCAGGCGTCATTCCAAGGTAAAAGTAAAGCCAAATAAGATGATCTTCAGTATGCAAGTTTGCAAGGAGAACAGATCTAAATGTGTATCTCAGATGTGATGAAAAATAATTTATACTTATAAAGTATCATTATGTGTTATAGGTGTTGTTAATAATTTGTGATAAATTTTATGTGAACAAAAAGTTTACATATTTATTTCAGACACTACACTATTCTGCTTCTGGGAATTTCAGAATTACTGCGCTTTAACTTATATTCAGTCACTTAGCATAAGATGGATAGGAACTTTAGCATTTTTTAAATGCAACGTTTTGAAAAGTATGAAGTATGGGAAATCCTGAAAGTAAAGCAGTGTATTTCATTTTAGTATTACCTTATAAACTAATTGTTGCTAAAACTGTCAAAATTAGAAGAAAAGAGAAAATAAATAAAAGGGCCATCCGGTAGGAAATTATTTAAATATAATTGGCCTGATTGTAACGGACAGTTTCTTTTTAATTAAAACAAATTAAATGTATTATAATTACTATATTAACGTTGTTGGTATTATTATTAAGTTCTTAAAAAGAGCAAAACACTTATCGCTAAGTGAAAACACGTGGCTGAAATCATGAAAAAGTACATTTTATTTATGTATTTTTGTTACATACATATTTTAATTTCAAATAATAATTTATTGTAGATTATTTAAAGAACCTTATTACAAAATAGAAAATACGATTATTTGCAAAATATTTTTGGGAGGACTAAAATATTATGGCATTATTGACACAAAAATATGAGAAGTTTTCTCGGGTTAAAGTTGTAAAGTAATTAATAATTTTCTTGGATTAAAGTTGTAAGGTAATTATTAATTTTCTTGGATTAAAGTTGTAAGGTAATTATTAATTTTCTTGGATTAAAGTTGTTAGGTAAATTTTTGCTGGATTACACTTGTAAGGATCCGTGGCCCACCAGCGGCCGAGCGGTAAAGTCGCTGAACAATGCGTTTTCGTGACTTTCCCCATGTTTAACGCGTATCCGAGCCAGTTCCCTTAGAAAGTCCTCCACAAAGGCATCCTTCAACTAAGGCAGATAGACATCGAGGCTTTGCCGTAATTACATAAACCAAAACAAACCTCATTTCCGTGTGCATTTGTGATGTAATTTGAAAGTACTTGCGGCTACCACTCGGGGGGTCCGGAGTTTGAATCCCCGAGAGACATTTGCGGATTTTATCAATTTTCTGACATCGAAAAAAAATCTAATGAATCTACAAAGTGATGAATAATATAACGGCAAAATATCCAATGTAAATGATGATTACTTAAAGTTAAGTTGATTTAGTAGTGCTGCTGTAAAAGACTTGTGTTCATTTCACATTCGCAATATATTGGATTATATTCTTTGCACATTCTTAAAGACTTTTATAAGCTAATACGTTTTCTAAATTGGAAAGCTCCTGTGCTTTTATTTAAATACTCTTCTACATGTAAAGCATTCATTTTTGATTTATGAATTTTTTCCTGATATTTCATAGAATTGATTACTTAACGGATGTTTTATAAGAATGCTTTTCTTTTCTGTTATACCTACTGTTAATCATTAGCAGACTAAGACAAAACACATATGGTAATGATATTTTCAGCAGTAAAGTAAGCAGACTAAGACAAAGTAGTAAGTAAATTAGTAGTTACTTACTAAGTAAGCAGAGACAAAAAACGTATGGTAATGATATTTTCAATTATTCTTAAACTGAAGGGAAAACATCAACGCATATATAGAATGTCACGAAAGTTTAATCCAACTGAGCTGATATTTTCAAATTGAAAACATATCAATAAAATTCCTTCAGTTCTTTTATGAGTGGAAATTCAAAGTTATTAATTGTTACTTTCCTTCTCCTAAAAGTAATTTCATAACTTTTGAATCACTTTCTTTTGAGATACAATGCACATCTGCAAATGATTTATTACTAAATATTCTTTTATGTTGTGTATTTGAGATGCATCCCTAAAAATGAGTAAAAAACAAATAGCTTGCACTTGGCATCAAAATTCAACTCAAATCAGCCAAGCCAAGAAAGATATTAAATATGTCTATTATAATTAAATCTCCAAATATTTATTTGAGTGTCTCGTTACATGCTTTGCAGGGATCGTGCATGTTTCTCCATACCAGTGGAATATTTTATAATACTATATAACTTTAACTTTCTTCATCTAAAAT